GCTTCAACCAAGAACACGGACGAGATTTCACCGAAACTTCCGCTCCAGTTAGCCGCCACACCTCACTACGCATTCTCCTCGCAATCGCCGACATGAAGAAGAAGAAGCTGCGACAAATTGACGTCGCGAACGCGTTTTTCTTTGCACCTGTTGATGCAGAAATCTTCGTCGAACTACCGCACGGCTCCCACAGAGAACCCAACCAAGTCTGCTAGCTACTCAAGTCACTCTACGGCATCAAGCAGGCTCCGCGACTGTGGCAACAGTACCTGCACGCTCGCCTCATTCGCATCGGCTTCAAGCACGATCAAGGCATGTACCGGCTCACAAAAAACGACGACTACATCCTAATAATCGTCTACGTGGACGATCTCCTTTACATCGGCTCAACTGACGGCATCACTACCTGGTTCGAAGGGGAGCTGCATCGAGATCTCACGCTCACAGTTTCATCTACCGTCACTCAGTACCTCGGCCTCAACATCTGGGAAGAGGAGGACGCGATCTACCTCAGCGCCGAGAAATATGCCGACACTATCGCCAAACGCTTTACGCTCACACCGACAGCCATCTCCACGCCATACCGATACACGGCAGGGAACGACTAAGGAAGCTCCGCTCTACTTAAGCTCGCCTGCATACGAGACTACCAGAAGAAGCTGAGATGTCTTCTCTTCGCAGCCGTCACCTGTCGCCCCGACCTCTCATACTCCGCAAGCCAGCTCGCCACCTACCTCAAGATACCTGAAGTAGAACATCTGGCGGAGCTCGACCGCGCTCTTCACTACTTTGTCAGCACCCCAACGATCGGCCTAACTTACTACAAGAACGCAACCACACCGACTAAGTTAATCGGCTATGTCGACGCTGATCACGCTGGCGACTCCGATTATAGGCGCTCCCGCACCGGCTACATCTACCGCCTCGAACCTATCGGACCTATCTCTTGGCAATTGAGCAAGTAGGAATTAATTTCTCTCTCGTCAGCTGAAGCAGAATATATTGCGCTCTGCTCAGCCACCAAGGAAGGACTCTATCTTCGCGAGCTCCTGGAAGAAGCGAAGTTAGCCGAGTTACCCAACTTAACCCTGTTCTGCGACAACCAGTCAGCAATTCGCATCGCCAACAAGAACGGCTTCGCGAACAGGACGAAACACATCGCCTTGTGATACTTCTTCGTGAAGGATGAGATCGAGAAGGGAAGGCTCGAGCTGTCATACTGTCCCACGTCCGAGATGGCAGCTGACTACCTGACCAAGAAGCTCGGAAAGCAGAAGTTCGAATACTGCATGCTGCTGACTAGACAGAGCCACGTCAGCGACACTCCAAAAGCGAAGGGGAGTGTTGGAAACAATCGGTCCTAAGCGCCTCTGTTGTGTCGAAACACCAAGTCAGAAGCGAAGCAAAGTATATCGAAGCACCGGCGAGTCAACCCTCGGAGGTTGAGCGGTTGTTAGAGGTTACGCGAAAGTCAAAGGTCAGCGACCTTTGACCTGAAAAATACAGCGCGACAGCAAGGACACACAACTGACTCGTTACAGAGCAGTTGCCCGAGTCGTCACTGTATAGAACCGCAACAGCAACATCAAAGTAGTTATAACTGTGTCTTTTCATATTCCCTGTATTCATATACAATCTTGTATCTCTTTGCTTTAATCAACTTACTTTGCCCTCACATACTAGCGCAGGGTGGTTCACAACTCTTTATCAACGCTTCCGCTACTACACCAACTCTACCCAGAGTTCACCCCTGCAAAGATCCTAAGGGCTTTTTCAGCCCAACACGTCATAGATATATCTCTCATCCGATACTGCTATGAGTAATGCACTCTCTTGTAACATTGGTGTCTTACAAATCCTAGAAACACAATTCACATTGTTAACGGAAATATTACACTGCAAGGTTGTGGGTAGAATGCTGTACTCTACCATTTGGGTTATTCTAATGGGCATTAGCTGTACCCTCCCTCCTCCCAAACCCAGGGATCACCCATTGGAAGAAAGCTGAACGAGACGCTTCTTCTCACCACCACACATGTCACTTGCTTCGGGTCGAGCTGAGTCGCACAACCTGTTGCGAGCGGATGCTTTCCGCTCGTTCGTGCGCGACAGCATCCTCCCCGCACCAGCAATGTGTAGCCCATTGTTTGGTGGATCTCATCCCCCCATCTTCCCCATGCCTCGAATCAAATGGATCACTAGGTGGTCATCGAGACCGGAACACTGAGGGTTTCGGAACGTTCGGAAGCGGTCTGGTGTGTACACAAATTGTTCGAGACGGCGAGAGCCGGTACAGTTGTCACCAATTTTGCTGTTTCAGCGTCGGCAAAGCGTTCTTCCTGCCAGCTGTGAAAATGTTATATTGACCTGCATTGGGCGAAATTGAACTGAATTGACTCAGCCCAACCCCCTAGCACGTCATCGTCATGTACTGTACAAGACGACATGTACCGTACTGTACTTGTGGTGGTGGACGCCTATGGGCAGTGCTCCTTTTCTCCCAATCGAATTCCGTGAGGAATATGTGATGTCACACCAGATACGCGTTACTGAAATACTAATCAGTTCCGAACAAATTTCCCAATATTGAGAGCCTTTCGTAACATACAGGTTAGGGCGTGTTACCTCTGGGCTCGAGACCCCAAATTCGAACATGCGTACCGTTTTCACTGTTCGAACACTGTCCCGTGACGTTCCGAAAACAAATTCGAACAGAATTACAAATGTGACAGCGTATTCTCCAGGTGACGCCCCCCTTGTTCGAACAAGCGCCTTGTTCGAACATGCGACGTCGCCCAAAATCAGGCGATGGCGCGAGGCGACGAATCCAACGTTTGTGGGTTCGTCAGCCTCTACAAACAGTCCAATAAGTTTTTCGCATTCAATGGACGACGCGGCGTCCGGCTGACCAATCAAATACCTCGTCCCTGCGGAATCTCTGTCACCTAGGTCTGGGCGTTCGAACAACTCTGTTCGAACGTGCAACGTGAATCGCTATCCGCCGGATGTGACAGCGTTGTCGGATGGGCGACAATTCCGTCATGCGACGTCGTAAAAGCCGATGCGAAGCGTGACGACATATGTTATATTTCGCCTGTTCGAACGAGAGTGTTGTTCGAACAGCGAGGTGACACGCCCTCAGGGAAACCAGTGTCACCAGGTCCCTGCCTTGTAAGTACGTAGCGTGTCCCTCTTTGACACTGTCACAAACGTGGAGGATTATTACGGTCACGTAAGACTACTTCCCGCGATTTGAACGTATAGCACGGCGCATTCGCCCCTCTCATCATCACCTCAAAAAACGTCGTCGTGTGGGGGGATCGCTATCGAATATACCATGTTTCTCTTTCTTCGTCTCCGGCTCAGTAGTAGAGTATTCCGTCTCGGAGGGCCTGTGAAGGTATCCTCTGCAAGCAGAGTTTAGCCGTAGTAACTATTTCCAAAGATACTGAGTCATTGGTGTGTAGCTCGACCTTGGGAGTGTCGTGGAACTGGCCAGTCTAGGAGGTCATTTGTTGCGGAGTTTAGGACGACGATCTGCCGATTCCGCGCCCTGTCTCCACTCTCACGCGGCGTCGTTACCGATTTCTCTCCGCGCTCCCTCCCGGCGCCCCCCGGCCCTCAAAATTGTCACGAGCAGCGACTCGATAGAGCTCGATTTAGTCACGTCGGCGCTCGTCGGCACTGCGACCATGATCGACGAGAGCGGCGGCGGGAGAAGCGGCGAAACGAGCGATTTCGCGAAGAGCCATTCCAGCGACAGCAGCGGGTTCCTCTCATGCGAACCGGCGCAGACGACGAAGAGAATCACAACCGCTCCCCCCGGCGAATCTAGTAGCGTGAGTGCCGCCGCTGGACAGCACGGGCGGCGCGGGAACCCCGCGGAAATGGCAACAGACGAAAAACATTTTAACGCATCGTCAACACATCTTCCGCACGACGGCACCAGCGGGGGCGCACTCGGCGCGTTCGTGGGCGGAAGCCTCCGCGCGGTCGAGTCAACGATGGGCCGCGCGGCGCTAGTAGGCGGAGCCGGAAACAAGCATTGCGCAGCGCCCGCCAACGCACTCCCGCGCAGCGGTGGAGGCGGAATGCGGAGCCTGAGCCGGGGGAGCAGCAGCAGCTCAATTCATGATGTCCGGCGGAACAGCACGGGCGCGCACGCCGCCGGGTTTGATGGGGAACGACCGATGGTGCGCGCCAATAGCGACTCGACAGAAAGGCCTCTGCAGTCGCCGGGAGTCGCGGAACGCAGCGCTAGCTCCCGTTGGTCGTACAGCCTTTACACCGCGGAGGCAGCGACGGTTACCAGCGGTTCGTTTTCGTTTTATCACGGTGACAGTAGCACTACTACTAGCAGCGGCGGCAGCAGCACTGCTGCTGATGCTGCTGGCAGCAGCATCAGCACGAGCGGATGGAGCGTGGGATCCCTCTGGCACTTGTTGCACGCTCCCGTGTCGCCCATCTTCCGCCACAAACGGCACTCCGCGCCCAACCCTTGGGATTATCCCACAACAGCAACTTCTAGTCACGGCACCAACCCGTCGTGGGACCATCACTCAACCCCAGGGACAAGCCATACCACCACCACGGCATCAAGCGACTCGGGATCCAACGGCGTCCACGGTGGGTGCAAGGCAGGAATCAACGGTGCTGGATTAACGGAGAATAAGCCCCCAAGGCATCACCGATGGACGAGCATGGATTGGAGTCATTGGGCGGTGCCACATATTCTTCCCTCCGCCCACTGCCCATCCGCATCGTCCCACCACATCAGATTCCCGAATCAAAGCCCCGCGACGACGTCCACTCCAATTCATGTTTCGGCGTGTCCCAGCGCCCTAGAGCCGTCGCTCGGAGCGCCTCCGCTGCTGCGGCGCAGCCGGACCGAAGGAACATGCAAGACGCGGCTTGATTACCCCATCGCTCATGATGATGCCGCTTCGCATCACAGTGGGGCCATGGCAAGAGACAGAGCAGCGTCACATGAGGCTTGTTCCATGTCGGTGACATGCAGAACTGCACCGCATGATGCATGCCAGGCTGTGCCGGATGCTGTTGGAAATCTGGCTTCTTCTGCCAAGGGGAGAGCTCCGCGCTTTGTGCCTGCCACAGAGCATCGGCTCTTCTGCAGCCCTGACAATGACCTGCAGTGCTTCCGCTGCTCCTCAGTGCCGTTCCCCCGTCTGCAGCACTCGTCGCATTACCAAGAGGGTGTGACAGGATTGCCAGCGCAACCAGAAGCTGCACAGAAGCTTCCTCTGCAGAAGCTGCCAGCTCAGGACTTGCAAGTCCTGCCGAAAGAGCATTTGCCGCCGGAAAAGAATGCAGCAGCAGCAGCAGCAGCTGAGGTGGGCATGGCAGGAGGGAGCAGGATGCATGCACCAGGTGCTTCTCTATGTGACCTGCGCTCGCATTCACCTGGCTTTAAAGGGGCTGGTATACAGGAGCAGAAACCGGACCAGGTGAACAGCGAACCACCCTTGGAACTGAAGGCAGACAAACATGATTGGCAACCTCCCAGCCCTACACCTGTGCCGCGGCAAGCACATCATAGGCGAATCCGACGCATGAGTTCCGAGCCTGTATCGTGGTTGGATCGTCGCATCGAAGCAGACGAGGGTCGGGGGAGGAGGAGTAGGGAGCAGGAAATGGGGGGTGGTGCTTCGGATATGATTGTTCGGTCGCCGGATAGTGGGTGGTGTAAGGTGGGTGGGCTGCATTTGTGGAGTCCGGAGCACAGGAAAGGGGGTATGCATACTGGTGTGAGCCGGATGTTTGTGGTGAATGGTGGAGGCAGCAGCCACAGGCAGAGGGGAGGGTTGAGCATGACGATGGGGATGACCGGAAAGCCAGTTGATGCAGGGCATATGGAGATGAATGGGAGTTTGCAGTTTTGCCCTGCGTTTGATGTTGTGGAGGCGATGAATGAAGCAGAGAGGCATCCGGTTGCGTGTGATGATATCACTAGCTCGTGCCCTGGCAGCAGTTGCTCGAAAAGTAGTGGGAGTGCAGGACGGCAGGTGGAGCTGATCAGTCCAAAATTTACACGTAAGGAGGGCTGGGATGGGGAGGTACAATTTCGTCAACCAACGAGCTCGTCGCTTTTTCTAGAGAGTGGCGTCTGCCAAAACTGGCGCTCTGCATTGAATCATCCACTTTTTAGTGGTGGAGCAGTTTGTGCTGAAGATTGTATGTTCTCACCTTGAGTATACTGTTTTACTTAAGGAAAATTCTGGCTTCTCTCTTGAGACTAACTGTAATAAGCTGGCTCTTTCAAAACTGCCATGTTCGACCCTCAACCGATCTGCACCACTCCGTTGCCATGTCGAGAGATTCCGGCTCGTCAACCAATCACACAGGGTTGCTGCTCCAGCAAGGCTTGAATTCGTGGTGGTTGACGAGGCGGCGGAGCGCATCGCCAGATACCCCTTGAGATCATCGCCCACTCAACAATCTGTGACCAGCGTTCAGATCCAAAAATCTTGCTGTGGCGTCGACCGCCAGCCGTTGGATGAAGGATCGGTCGGCTAGTGAGCACTTGAAGTTGGACCACCACAAGCAATGCATTTCTTGGGTTCTCCGCCAATGCTCTCTCCCTGCCCTGGTTTCAAGTGTTTTTTTTGCTGCATTGCTGGAGCAATTCCTAGGAGGATGATCCATCCAGTCCCTGGGGGAGTGTATATTTGAGCCATTGAAGTTGCCGAAGAAGCTCTCTCTATTTAGCCTTCCTTGATCTTGCTCTGCTTCTGTGAGAAGCCCTTGAGTCAGTATTTGCTGACTCCGGATTTACCTGTGAGCCAGGCCGAGCAGATCAGGCCGGCATTGTCAATTATTTCGTAGGGGCGCAAGCCCATAACGTTGTTCGAAGATGGTGCTCGGTCTTCGTACGGCGTATGGCGTGATTCAGGATATGCAGTGTCTGTCGTCAATGTGGTTCAAGAAGATCAAGGGAAACACACACAAGGATCGCCTCGAGTCCTTTTACAGCCCCCAAGCACACGCCTGTAAGTCGCTTAGGATTCGATCCTCGATATACGTCAAGCCATAACATCTCTATATTATACTCAATGGAGATCATGACATTACATTCTCACACAATCAATCCATGCTACAACTCTCGGTCGTTTCAAGCGACAGCATTTCGCAATCGCGCAACGTCACGACGGACTGACTGACAACGTGTAAACTGCATTTACTTTGATCCCTAATCACCCGTCAATCGGCAGACGATAGATTTCGCCGCAACTTCCTCCATGCTCGCCGGCCAATGCTGGCGGCGTGCGCCGCGCGTCTGCGCGGATCAACTGGTATGGTGTGGGTAGATTTGGGCGGTGGAACCGCGGAGAACGTGGACATGATGGCGGAGTTCATCGATTTGTCCGCATTCGACAAGATCTACGTGGTGGACATCACGCCGTCGCTGTGCCGCGTGGCGGAGCAGAAGGTGAAGCAGCGCGGGTGGACCAACGTCGTTATTGTCGAGGGGGACGCCTGCGCCTTCACGCCGCCGGAAAAGGCCACCCTCGTCACCTTTTCCTACTCGCTCTCCAGTACGTGAATCAGATTGTTCCGGACTACACGTGTGGCTCTGCTCACCACTGACATAGGCTTCAATCGTGCTCTCATCATTCAGCCCTCCCATTGTCTCTCATTGTCTCTCATTGTCGAGTAAAATTATTCTCCTCTTCTTTTCAAATTTGGACGATCCGTGCAGTGATCCCGCCTTTCATGGACGCCGTGGACGCGGCGTCGGGGTACATGGAGGAGGACGGCATCATCGGCGTGGCGGACTTCTTCACGTCCGCCAAGTTCGACCTCACCCATTCCAAATCCTCTAAATCTCTTTTGCACCCTACGCAGTGATCCCGCCTTTCATGGACGCCGTGGACGCGGCGACTGGATACATGGAGGAGGACGGCATCATGGGCGTGGCGGACTTCTTCACCTCCGCCAAGTTCGACCTGCCCAACCGCCAGCACACGTACAACCAGCGCTGGTTCTGGCGCTCCTGCTTCGACCTGGACGGCATCGACCTCTCGCCCGAGCGCCGGCAGTACCTGGAGCACAAGCTCGAGACCGGTGAGCCGAGGGGGGTGGTTATGGTGAGAGGAAGAGGGATGGTGACGACTAGAGAAACGAAAACCCCTGGTTGGAGACTGTTTGACAACACACGCAGGAGATCTGTAAGGGGACGAGGGATTGTGATGGTGAGAGAGATGGAGAAAAAGAGGATGGTAAGTCGGTGTTCAGATGAGAGATTGTTCAACAGCACATGCTGGACCACAATTTAGGGGACGGTGAGGGAGCGAATGTTGATGGAAGATGGACTGAAATTGCTGGAGAAAGGCAAGAGCGAGCGTATGAAAGATGCAGAGGGGTGGGACGCAATTGGAAGGAGGGATGAATCTAGGCCAGAAACTCCGCAAAGAACATTGATTCAACATCGATTGTTGTAACATGCGGATGTGGAGAAATTTGAGATGATGGCTCAGAGTATTTCACATACACCGACTCAACGTGGTGGTGTGATTAGTCAACGTTCCTTCCTTCATTCCCCTCGCGATTCTTCACTCCTTTGCTAAATTCTTTTTTTTGCACCCCCTTGCTCGAGCGCGCTCTCCTGCTCCTGCTCCTCCGCTCGTGTGAGTGCAGTGTACGAGTACAACGGCCAGGGCAAGATCCCCTACGTGCCGTATCTGAGGGCGCCCTTCTACATCTGGGTCGGACGCCGCAGAGACTGCCAGAGTAAGGAATAACTCGCCCGTAACTTGACCACGCTTGCTTTCTGTCCCTCACTCGGTTCGCCTGAACAAGAGTTGATCGACTTCCCGCCTGCGTGACCTGTATCTCGCCTACCCCTGACAATCCGTCCTCTCCTCACCCCCTCCTCTCTCCCAACGTGCAGAGGTGAACCTGGTGCGCTTCCCTGCGCGGGCAGCGGACGATCTGGAGTTTAAGATCCCGCCGGGCTTCCCCCCGACGTTCCTGTACTCGCTGTCGTGGGAGGACCCGCGCGAGGACGACAAGGTGCTGGACATCAACCCCAGCGACACCATCCTCACGCTCACGTCCGGCGGCTGCAACGCGCTCGACCTCGTGCTGCAGGTACGGGCCCCTCTGCACCCCTCTGCACCCCTCTGCACCCCTCTGCACCCCTCTGTACCCCTCTGAAACCCAGTATTTTGAGTGGACTCATAACACGTGGGGAGGACCCCCGCGAGGACGACAAGGTGCTGGACATCAACCCCAGTGACACCATCCTCACGCTCACGTCCGGCGGCTGCAACGCGCTCGACCTCGTGCTGCAGGTACGGGCCCCTCTGCACCCCTCTGCACCCCTCTGCACCCCTCTGTACCCCTCTGAAACCCAGTATTTTGTGTGGACTCATAACACGTGGGGAGGACCCCCGCGAGGACGACAAGGTGCTGGACATCAACCCCAGCGACACCATCCTCACGCTCACGTCCGGCGGCTGCAATGCGCTCGACCTCGTGCTGCAGGTACGAGACTGCTCTCTGCATCCCTCCGCATCCTACCTCACTCCCCATTTACTCGTCCTCACCTTCGGGGCTTAAGCGCGCTAGTTGTCATGCTGCACGCAAGAGAGCACGTATGTGCGAGGGTTATCTCTCTTCCTTGAGCCTTCTGTTGGCCGCGGGGTTCAGGGTTTAAAGTCGTCCTTGACAGCTCCATTGAGCTGGCAGTTGAGTTGAATAATATCCCAAAGCTTGTCACTCTGTGCACATGTGCGACGCTTACCTCCGCCTTGTGGAATGAGACATCTCAGGGTTCAGGGTTTTAATGTGTCCATCTGAGCTTGCAACAAAGCTATCAAGCGATGTGTGGCGTGTGGCAACTGAGCCTGTAACATGGTCGCCTAGGCAGTGGATTGAGCTCACAAGGAGCAGCCATCCCAAACCTTACCCTACCCCTCCCCCATTCCCTCCTGATAATTGAAAGCCTGCAAGCGTTGTTGCTCGGTCATGTTTCTTTTCTTTTCCGCTTTTGCGGTACACAGGGAGCGGGCAAGGTCATGGGGGTGGACATCAACCCGGCGCAGAGCTACCTGCTGGAGCTGAAGTGCGCAGCCATCCTGCGCCTGCCATTTGAGGTCGCATTGGGAGAAAGAGAGTAGTATATCAAACCTGCTCCCACGCATGGCACTTCCTCCCCTCAACCCCCTCGTTCTTGTCTCGGTGATTTGTTTTTGCAGGGAGCGGGCAAGGTGGTGGGGGTGGACATTAACCCGGCACAGAGCTACCTGCTGGAGCTGAAGCGAGCAGCCATCCTGCGCCTGCCCTTTGAGGACGTGTGGAAGATGTTCGGCGAGGGCGTCCATGAGGGCTTCCCCGAGCTGCTGGAGAGGGAGCTCGTGCCGTTCCTCAGCCAGGGCGCCACCAACTTCTGGCGGTGGAAGAAGTACTACTTCCGCAACGGCATCTACTTTCACGGTGAAATTTAGTCGGTTCAGCAAGAATGTGGGCTGGTAAGAGTGTGAGCTGGCAGGCAGGAACAAAGTCACGGTGCAAGCTGTCTAGACGAACCAATCACGGGGAAAGGCCATGAACGCAAGTGGATTGTAGAGGGGATGCGCTTATGCATGCCAAGCGCCGCCAGCTGTTAATCAAAGGCGAAAGGACCATGCCTTGCCATGTCTTTCCACGGGGTATACAACTAATCAATTATCTCCCACCACGCCCTCCAATGCAGGCGGCATGGGTCGTCTCATCCGTGCCGTGAGGGTCCTCGCCAAGCTCACCAGAATGGTGCGTGCTGCTGTGCTGGAATGATCAGACAACCTTAGTGCAAGTGTGGTGTGGGACACTGGGTTGTGCTTGCTTGTGCGACTGGTGTGTTCTAGCGTGGATGAATGACTGGGATGCACTTGCATGGTATCATGCGAGTCCTCGCCAAGCTTCCCAAATTCCTCCCCACCCTCCTTCCCAAATTCCTTCGCACCTTCCTTCCCATCCTCCATCCAACCTTCTTTCCCACCCTCCGTCCCACCATGTTTCCCACCGTCTTTTTAAACCTCCTTCCCACCCCCCTTCACACCCTCCTTCCAAACTCCTATCCGATCTTTCTTAATCTGCTTTTTTGCTGTTGCACTGGCACTCCTGTCATTGCTGCTGCTCCCCTCCCTGACCTTGCTGCTCCCCTCCCTGACCTTGCTTCTCCCCTCCCTGACCTTGCTTCTCCCCTCCCTGACCTTGCTTCTCCCCTCCCTGACCTTGCTTCTCCCCTCCCTGACCTTGCTTCTCCCCTCCCTGACCTTGCTTCTCCCCTCCCTGACCTTGCTTCTCCCCTCCCTGACCTTGCTTCTCCCCTCCCTGACCTTGCTTCTCCCCTCCCTGACCTTGCGTCGCCCCTCCCTGACGTTGCTTCTCCCCATCCTGACCTTGCTTCTCGTCTTCCTCCTGTCTCCGCCTGTGAATCCATGCTAACAGGAGAAGTGGATCGACAACCTGGTCAATGCCCCCTCTGTCGAGACCCAGTATGAGATCTGGTCAGTACTCTGCAGTGCAGCGCAATGTGGTGCAGTGCTGTGCGGTTCAGTGTAGTGCAGTAGCGCAATGATGTGAAGTGCAGTGCAGGCGGGTCTGTGGCATAATGTGCGGCATCGGAGGCCTGCGCAAACCCTCCTCGGATTCTACAGGACCAACAGGATGCTCCCCTCCCTCCATCCCCTCCCACTTTCTTCACTCACACCCACATGCGCGAATATGCTCGCTTTCATCTTTGGATTCTCCTCAGCATCACTAACCTCCCCACCCACCCATCCATCCCCTCCATCCCCTCCATCCCTCCCCACTCTCTTCACGCCCACAGGACCAGCACCATCGGGCGGTGACTCACCACTCTCTTCAGGGCGGTGGCTCACCCGTGCCAACATGTTTGCGCGCATCTTCGGATTCTTCTTTACCAACCGCGTGGTGCTGCTCATCCTTGCTCTCCTCCCACACATCCCTGCTACTCTGACCGCTCCCCAACACCCACAGGACCAACACCATCGGCCGATGGTTGACCCGAGCCAACATGTTTGCGCGCATCTTCGGCTTCTTCTTCACCAACCGCGTCGTGCTCTGGTTCTGCGCCGGCATTGCCCGCGGGCAGCTGCGCCTCATCCGCAAGGAGGACAACGTGTACCGCTACGTTGTTCGATGCCTCGACTCTGTCGCAGAGACCACTTCCCTGCGCGACAGGTGAGGCTTGTGTAATGCCCGAGGGCACAGAGGCACAGGGGCAGGGGTGGGTAGAGCAGGGGGAAGCTGCGCCTCATCCGCAAGGAGGACAACGTGTACCGCTACGTTGTGCGCTGCTTGAATTTGGTGGTAGATGCCACTTTCCCCGGCAGGTGAAGGTTGAGAGATTGTGTACCTCTGGGGCCCACGCCGCCCTTACTTGGTGACAGGTGATTACAGTGACGGTTGGTGTAGTGTGCGCAAGTGGCGAGAGCGTGTATCACTGCTACATCGTGCACTGCTTGCACTTTGTGGCTGAAGCGTTGCCCCCTTCTCTCTTTCTCCCCCCCTTCTCCCTCTCTCTCCCCCCCCACAGCAACTACTTCTACCGCTGCTGCCTGACTGGCCAGTTCTCGCACAACTGCTGCCCGCGCTTCCTGCAGGAGCCCTGCTTCAACAAGCTCAAGGTCAGTTCAGGGTTATAGTCTCAAAGCATGCCAAGCATGTGCAGCGGTGAGTGGTGCAATTTCTGCCCGCGCTTCCTGCAGGAGCCTGCTTCAACAAGCTCAAGGTGGGTACAGGCGCAGGGCTAGTGGTGACGTTCAGGCTCGGGCTAGGGGTGACGCTCATGGGTTTTAGCTTCAACGTATGCCAAGCATGTGCAGCTGCGAGGGGCGCAACTGCTGCCCGCGCTTCCTGCTAAAGCCCTGCTTCAACAAGCTCAAGGTGGGTACGGGGCGCAGGGCTTTAAGAGGGGGAATACAGGCTAAGGCATGAGCTCATGGTGGAAGTAAAGTACTTCTATGCGGAGGGTCTTGGGTTTGTGGTGAAAGAGCAGCACTTGCGTCCCTCCTGCTCGTTCACTCTCAGGTGACCAAAACAAGGGCCTACCACCCGACTTGCCCTCCTGCTGCTCTTCATCCCTCTTCTTGCATGCGTCCAACCCTTGGCCCTAGTTTTCCCCTCCTCGTGCCTCGCTGCCCTCTTCTACCTCTCACATCTCTTTTCCTGCCCCCTTGTGCTTCTGGTCCCTCATTTCTCCCCCTCTCCTGCCTCTTCCCCTCTCTTGTGTGACAGACGGAGCTTGCCGCCCGGGACTGCATGCTCATCTCGACGTCCTTCTTTGTGGAGGAGCTGCGAGCACGCATGTACACCAAGGTGTGTGTGTGCGTCTAGTTATGGTCATACATGTGGCCATGGCATATACACCAAGGTATACTGTACTTTTGTTCTGCGTAAATTTATCTGTCCCTTTGATGGGTGAGTTCCAAGTTGAAAGAGAGTAGCTAAGCTTTCCCCTCAATCTCTGACTGATCCTTAGCAACTCCATTTGATGCTTATTCTGCTCACCCCTCTCCTCATTCCCTCCTCCTCACCTCTCCTCTCCTCGCCCCTCACTCGCCTTGGTCTTGTTGTCTCACCCCCCACTCACCTCCCCAATTCCTGCCAGGTCATTCCGATGGACCATGTGGATTGGCTGGGGCAACGTGCCATTGACACGCTCTCCAATTTTTTCTTCCATTCGCTGACTCATCTCTGGCAATTCCACCCCATCGCTGATTGCCTCCCATTCCCTGCCAGGTCATTCTGATGGACCATGTGGATTGGCTGGGGCAGCGTGACATTGACACTCTCTGCCGAGCACTCAAGGACCAAGTCAAGGTGAGCGAGACTTTCGAAGTACCAATCATCTGAAAAGAGCGAGACTTAAACACTCACTGAAATCAGACAAGGACCAAGTTGAGGTGAGTCCAGGCAGCAAGTGTCGACTGTGTAAGGTCGCGAGTGCAGTGAACCATAAGCCCAGTCATTGGCTTATGAGGTACTAGTTCCCCAACCCGTGTCCCAGCAGTCTCTCTGCGGCGGCATGCCTGTTTCCTTACGAGTGGGTGTGATCTGCAGATCAGTGCTTGTAGCACAGTTCATCTCTCCTCTGTTGGAGCTGTTGATATCTTATCTTCCTCTTTCCACTGAGGCCTGCAGCCTGAAGGCTGTGTCATATAGTGCGCTTCATCCCTCCCCTTGACCTGTCATCCTTTTCCTCTTCTTTCTCCCCCTTGTTGTTTTTCTCCCCACCGTTGCAGCCCGGAGGTCGTGTCATCTGGCGCAGCGCGTCGCGCAACCCCGAGTATGCCAAGGACATAGAGAAGGCTGGATTCAAGGGTAAGAGCTGGAGAGTGCTCTCTTTGGGGTATGACTTAGGGGGAAGCTGACTGGCATAACGATGCAGCTGAACCAGGATCATGGAGTGAAAAACGAGTTCCTTCCTTCCTCCTGCATCTCATGTCAGCCCCACCACGTTCCCCCTCTTTTTTTCCTCCTCTTCCTCCCCACCTCCCATCTTAAATCCCATCCTCCCCCGACTTCCTCGTCCCTCCCCTCGCTATAATCTAATATTTGCCTTTTTTTCCCCTCCCCCCATCCAATGGCAGTGGTGCAAGTGCGCTCCATCACACAGCAGCAGTACATGGACCGAGTCAACATGTACGCCAGCTTCTACGTCGCCATTCGCAATGGAGGCCCCGAGAACATCCAGATCTTCAATGAGCCGCCCAACCCTCTTGCCCTCACCAATGGCACTGATGCTGCTGCCCCTGCCGCTAGCTCCTGATTCTTGGATGAAGCCTTTCGCTGTTGACTCGAGATTGAATACGAATTGCAAGTTGTATTGTAAACAGGCATGCCATGGATGTACTTCTCTATGTTTGAATCAGAGTGTACTATCACAAGTGAGAATGACCATTATGTAGTATATGTTGTTGAGATTCGAGAACAGCAGCAGCAATCATACGCGTTCATAGTGTACACGCTCCCAGTACTGCACGAGTACAGCATCATTGCAAGCAATCCATGACACGACCCAGAAGTGAAGGAAAGGGGGGGGTGTTGCTCCTCTATTGCAGCTATTTGTGATTTCGAGCGTGCCGAAATCCAATTCGTCAATGGAATTGGTTCGTCGCACATGTCCCGACCACGTAGGCATTTTGAAATATTCCAACCAATCAGTAATCAAAGATGACCGCACCATCATTGAACATAATTGCGCTTCGACACGTCACAGTCGTTCACGAACTACGCAAACATTTTGATAGGCGCGAAACAGCGGCTTGGACATTTTTCCCGCCCAAATCCCAGGTGAGTGCAGGAAGTAGTGCTGCTGTATTCCTCTTGTCTTGCAGGTGAAGAAATTCGCGCCGCTGACGACGCACCAGCAACAGCTGTCCATATATAGTAGGCTCCATCGCTTATCACGCAGTCACTTCAATCATCCACCTCAAGCACCGATTCTTTACAAGCTTCTGGTTCCAACTATCGGCATACGGAGATTGCGACACCCGGTTTCTGAAAGTGGCGGTGCTGATCTCCCCCTTAAGTCTCAAACATGGCTCTCGCTCTTCCCCACCCAGCTTCTGCTCTTCTCGGAAGCTTCGCCAACTCGACGATTTCGCTAATGGGGAAACGGAACCTTGTTAATAGATCACTCCCCGCTGCTGCCATGCCGTCCATCCGCTGTCAAGCGCCGCCCACCGCAGTCGTGCCATCTCCCACTGTCGCACGAGCCCCTTCCGTCGCACGCACTCCCCCCGTCGCACGAGCGCCCACCATAGCACGACCGGCCACTGTCAAACCATCACCGACCGCACGACCGGCCACCGTCAAACCAGTGCCCACCGCACGACCGGCCACCGTCAGTCCAGTGCCTACTGTGTCGTCATCGCCCACCATCGCGCCGTCATCCGCCGCCTCGCCGCCAACCTCGGACACCATGGTCTCTGTATCAGCGCCGTTTCCAACGCGACGCGCCGAGCGAGCGGAGACAACCTCCGAGTCGCCATCGTCTGCAATCTCACCATCCTCCTCCGCGATTCCCGCGCCCCGCATCAACCAACGCAGTGCGTATTCTCTTTTCGAAGTTGTCTTCTGGCATTAATGACTGGTTTAGCTCGCGATCAGTACTCCTACCATTGCCCCGTTTGCATCTCCCTCCGTCGTTGCTAACCTTCCTTTTCACTTCATTGCAGAAAAGTCGTCATCGTCCGCGCGCCGCCGGAACGCACCCACAAGCTTCGCTCCGCCGCCAGCCGCGCTGCGATCCGGAGCAGCCATGGCGGACTGCCTCATGTCGTACAGCCGCATGCTTCACCTCATGCCCGGCCGTAGTCGCGATCTCGTCGCCGCTGGTGCCGGCGTTTTGGATCACGTGTTGGAGTCGCTGCGGAACCTGCTCGATACGGACCAGGTACGTGCTCTCTCGCTTGCTGCTATTATCGGGTCTATCGTTGATTTGTTTCGGGGGTTGTTTGTGGCGTTCTTACGGACGCTTTTTCACGGGTTTCATTGAATACACGCCCCGATTCTCCGTTTCTGATTTGCTAATGCTCTACAGGTGAAGGGCGTGGAAGCCGAGCGGCTGCTATTCGAGGTGGAGAGGGATTTGGGCCGCCTGCAGTTCGAACTTGCCGTGACGCCCGAGGCCTTCCCTGTGCAGGCAGTGCGCTTGCAGTGCGCACACGCTGCCCGTGTTCTCCGCTCCGTGTGAAGTAGACGTAAGGACTTAGTGAAACGCGAAATGCAAGGACATCCGAGTTCGTGTAATCTCTTATGTATAAATTATGTAAATAGTTGTAAGATTATACCATCAACTTTATGGATGCTCCATAGGCGAGATATTGACCAAAATATTCATGTGGACGATTTCACTCCTCGTTTCTTACTACTCCGTCAGGTTTCTGAATTCAAGATATGTCTGGAACTCAAGACCAACATACAAGATCATATATATAAATTGACTATCTGCAATGAACAAATTAAACGCCCTAATGTGATCTCAACATTGTCAGACATGAAGTTGACTTACAATGGAATCACCCACTTACAAACCCCTCAAGGTCAAGTCGAGGATCTCCCTCCTCAATCATATCATCCTCATTCATCAGAAACCCAAACTCGTTCTCCTTCTTGCTTGCGGCCCCCGAGCTGCGTCTCAACCGAGAGTTCTCCTCATCATTGATGCTCGACGCCCGCTGTGACAGCGGCTCACCCTCCGACCCAATCCCTCTAACTCCGCCCCCCTCCCCTCCCTTGCTGCTGCTTCGAGAAAGCGATGAATTGATCTTCTTAACCGGAGGGTCGTACGAGCTCGAGGATTCTCCCGTGGGAGATTCCAGGATAGCTGCGTTTGGATCGTCCATGTCATGGCGAATGCTCACAACCGTCTCTCCCTTGATTCTCGAAGCGGCGGCGGCAGCAGCAGCAGCCGCAGCAGCAGCCGCCGCAGCAGCTGCAGCTGCGGCTGCTGCTGCTGCTGCTGCCGCTGCTCCTGCTGGTGTATCGGTAGATTCAGCCGCCCCTGCTGCGGCAGCACCAGCAGACCCTCCAACTGCCACCCCATTGCTGAGCCCAGCAGCAGCAGAAGCAGAGGCGTCAGCTGCTGTAGCAGACCCTCCACCAGCGCCTGTAGCAGCAGCTGTAGCAGCACCACCGGCGCCAGCAGCAGCGCCAGGAGTGATGGAGGCGAAGAGGTTGGCAAAGCGGCGCTCTGACGCGGTGGCTTCGGCTGTGAGGAGCCCCGTGCGGCCCGAGCTGAAGGTTTGCCTCATGCTACGCGCATTCTCCATCTCCTTGCCTGAAGGAGAGGAGGGATTCGCGGTGGAAGTGGGGAGATGTGGGTGGGAGCGGTGTGTGAGAGACAGGGTGAGGCCTATGAAAACGGAATAAAGAAGGGGGCAAGCACAGGAAAGAGGCCCCTTGAAACAAGTGGAAAGCGACCAATTAAACAAGGACACTCTTTAAAGCCAATGAATTACTGAAGGAGGGCCTACCTGCTGGAACGAAGGTGCGAGTGCGGTAGTGCTGCGGCTTGTCCTGCGACCCATCGCTGTACAGCACATAGTCATGGTATGTCGGAGCGAACTGGTGAACCGTGTCGCTCACCACATCCCCCATATTGACAGAATGCTTAAACGCAGAGATCAGCGCGCCCCTCTGCTCCTCAGTCATATTCGCCAGGCCCAGCCCTGCGAGCCCGAACCCCTGGAAATCCATCGGACCTGCCCCTGACGTGCCCACATTCGCGACCATGTAGGGTTTGACGGGGAATGCAACCATGAAGCCGATGGCTCCGAGCGCCATCTCGCAGCAGATGATCACGTTTTGGAGATCCGCTGCTCCCTCTGGGCTGGCTGTGAAATGGGCGATGAGGAAGATGATGACTCCCTGAATGAGGGATATGGGAGTGGCCGTGTGGGAGGGGGGGGGAATATGCGGATGGGGAAGACAATGGTTAGCAGATTGCATAAGGGGCGTTACAGAAGATGATGATTCCCTGAATGAAGGGGATTTGGGAGCAACTGTGTGGGAGAGGAGGAGAAGATTATATGGTTAGTTGGGTATGATATGGGCAACGAGAAAGGTGAAGCTGTTGTTAAGACGAGGGGTGCGGAGGGAGGTGGAAAGGGGGAACGGGTATGGGAGAACGATGGCTACTCAGGCGCGATTTAGGCGATTGATTTGAGCATGAAGGACTCGATTGCGAGGGGGAAGGGAAAAATGGGAGAAGGAACTTGGGAACGACTAAAATGGGGAGGGGTGGGGTGAGAAGGAACTTGGTAACTTGGGAGAAGGGCGGGTGGGGAAGGTTGGGAGAAGGTTTCAGGGTGGAAAACTAAGGTGGGGAGGGGTGTACATGCCAGTACGTGAGGAAGATAATGGCCATGAGCATGAGGAACTTGTGGATGGGGTTGAAGGCGAAGGAGGGAGAAAGGGGGAAGGGGGAAAAGAGGAGCGGGAGAGGGAAAGGAGGGGTTGGAAAAGGGGGGAGAGGGGTTGTTTCAGGGATAAAAGGAGCGTACCTGCCAGTAGGTGAGGAAGACAACCGCCTTGATCATGAGGAACTTCGGGATGGGGTTGAAGGAGGTGAGGAGGTCCTTGCAGGCGACGTAGAAGAGGATGAGCGCGTATATGGCGATGGAGTAGGAGATCATGTAGACGCACGTGATGTACAGGTACGAGTCAAACGCGCTGAAGTTGCCGTCGTTGTACAGCCCGTACGAGTAGAGGATGAGCGAGAGCGCGGCCAGGATGGGCTTGAGGAACACGAACTGCAGGCAGCCTTGTTTGCAGCGCCGGATGAACCGGCTGGAGGGGAGAGGAGCGGGAGGGTCCGGGGGTGTTTGGTGGAGGTTGAATGGGAGGGAGAGACGTTCAAAGTCGATTCTGAAGTCATTCGGAGAATGGGACGACGGGAGACAAAGGAGACGAGCCGGTGTTAATCCAAGTGTGGAGGACACCTAACTGGTGGATGGAAAGGATTCACGCTACGCTTGCACAGGTGAAGTGAACCCAAATCAACTTGCGGCCATCCGCGCAAGAGATTTTTAAGCGCACAAAGCTTCAGCGCGGACAGCCTTCCCGTGCCAGGGTGCCGTGCAAGTCACCCACGCACTAGGCAGCAACTTACCCGTCGAGCGGCATGGGAGGCAGGCAGCAGGTGCCGAGAACGATGGACGGCTTGAGCACGCGACCAGCGAGAGACGTCACGACCACTCCGGGACCCCCCACCCACGCCAGACACAGCGACAGGAAGTTGTAGATCACCCATGCCTCATAGCTGAGGTTGATTATAAGGGGTATAACAAACAGCAAATCACGGGGACGAAGTTACGAATTGAGAAAGACGAATGGGCAGCGAGAAAGCGGAGAGAAGTACGGCAACTTCGGTATTGACTTGAAATTGGAATTACCAGAGGCGCTTGGCAACTACAGAATGAACAAAGATCCAAAGGTAACCAGCAGGATTGTTTGTTTCACTTACACGTCTCGGATGGTGTTGAAATACATCGCGTAAGCGCTAAAAGCCAGAGCGAAGAAAGACATGGTCGCATACACCTGCAGGGTTCAACCAAAGACCCATTGATTAAGCCGTTCGCGCGAAGCAGCAACCAGTTTGGTTTGAAGTAGACTGAAGAGCAACACAACTAAATCTGCAACGGGAACCAATCCCTTTATAACACTAAGATTTAGGAACCCGACATGCTGGTTTCAGCTGGAGTCCGCAAGACACAGAGTTTCCCAAGACTTACTGGAACCATGAAAATAATTCGGACGATGTACCGTTGGAACGTCGGCTCCGTATAATTTTGTAGATGTTGGATAATATGCCGTACTGACAAGAATACAGCTACGAGGGTGCATACTAGGGCTATAATTACCCCGACGAACCATAGTACCCAATCCATAGGCGCCAACTAGGAGAACGTGATGGAGAGAGTAGGATGACTGAGAAACGTCCTATGCTAGCCCTGACAGGGTGGGCCGACAATGGCGAACACGGCTCGAAACTGAAATGCACACTTTATCTCAAGTCCATCCTATACTCGCGTCACAGAAGTAGAGTCCTTGGAGTAACAGATTCAGGTGCCTGTGTTAAGCAGCTTCTGTCTGATTTTGAACACTCGAGCGGACCGAAACCAGACCTCAGCTACGGAGAAGATGAGAGTAAGCTGGTTGTTTCCAGCCTAATGGGAAAAACACTGAAGTTTAACTGGCCTAAATTCTCTAACTCAGGGTCCAGCACGAAATACAGCACGTGGCGACTCTCACGACGACAAGATAAAGATTTGGAGAAACTAGACAGATGCAGCTGAAAGGGTATGACTAGGGATGTGAGGGTGGGATGGGAAATGCCTGAGGGGAATGCCGGGCTGGGATGGGAGAAAGGCAAGTCACCTAGGAAGGTGGGATTCAAGAGACAGAGAAGACTGGAGGCGACACGCCCGAGGCTCATCCGAGGCTCTTCCGAAGCTCTTCCAGAGCTATTCTCGAACTTGTCGAGGTTTCGGTGAGCGCGGTGTGACAGGCGAACGCGGTGGGTTGCGGCGATAGGCGGGATGACGAAACACGCGGAGCTGAAATGCTCGTAACCCTAAACAATTTGTGCGAGGAAATAGCAACAGTAACGCTTCGCAAGTTCTGATGAACACTTCACGAAATGTCAATCTCGAGGTTGTTGCAGAAGTCGGTACAGGAAACCAACGGCCAGATGTGGAGCGAAGACGCTCATCCAATCTAACCAAGGGTGGGTGGTTGTTGGCATGGTTTCGTGTGGTCTGAACGGCGGACCTAGGTACTGTACCACCGCCACAATCGTACCAAGAGTACCGTTGGATTCTGTCTTATTTTAAAAAACCTCGATTGCGGAGTGGGTGGAATTCAAAGTGTATCCTAGACCTGAGCTGCGCAGTCCATTTACAATCAGCCACGAACAAATGTAAGCCCTCTACTCTTCTTCACTATACGAATAATAATTAAAACATAAAAATAATAATAAAATTATTAAACACATGTTTTATTCTGATTTTGATTTGTTTGTCGTGAAGTAAAAGCTTTTGTGCTGAATATGTTTCATGAATTGCTTATGACTACACATGTTGACCAGAAATTATGTGGGCAATCCATGAATCGAAGCAAAGCTTTAGCGAACCCCCTGTGGACGTGTTTCTAAACCAAAGCAACCAACTACGCTCCACGTCGGCCCCCACCCAACAGCCACGTAAGTGACGCTTCGCCAAGATGGCAGCCCAATGCACCAAGCCAGGATTTGTGAATTCCCAATTGTGCCAGCTTTCCTTAGAATTTGATCAATCGAGGCTGGGAGCAAATTCACGGAACAAACCCCAGCTCCCGCCCGGAACACGGTGAGAGAGGAGGGAGACAGCTGCATCTTTCTCCACGGTGCAGAATGCTGAAGATTTTTCACTTCCCACAAAATTACTTCGAATCGCACAGCTCGAGTTGTCCCCTGTGTCGTTGTCACGTTCATTCACCTTCCGATATTCCCACCCCAGCTGCGGGACCTGCACCTCTCGCTTCCTTCCGCCGCACTCTTGCGAGTCGCGCAGTTCTCGGGCTCGGTGCTTGACTCAACAAAAAGAGGCTCCACCTCCGTTTCATTATCCAAAGCCGTAAATAATTATTTTACTCACAGATATTTCTCGCTCCTTCTTGCATCTGTTCGTGATACATCAGCGCAAGTAACCCTCGCTCTACGAAATGGCTCTCTCATGCAACCAGGCTGCTATCCTGTCCTCCACCGTTCTCTCCAGGGGCCTGACCACAGCGTCTCCCGCGTCGCAGCTGAAATCACGAACACTCATTGCACGTGGACTTCCCGCAGTCAGGGCTGAAGCTGCACCCGCCGCCGTCAACCGACCCGACTCAGATGCCCCCGCCACTCCCGTGCTGCCGTCCGGCGCATCCATGGCGGATTTCCTCGTCACATTCAGCCGCACGCTGAACCACGCTCCCGGTAACGGCAAGAGCATCGCCGGTGCGGGCCGGGCTCTTCTTTCCCGCGTGCGGAGCGGCATCAGCGATCTAGGCATGGATGTCGACGTGGAGTCACAGGTGCGGCGACAACTGCGCGTCGCAGAGGCTGAGCGACTGCTTTTGGCGATTGAGAACGACCTTGTGGAGATCGCCGTCGACACATCTCTGGAGTCGAACAGCGTTCCCGTGCAGCTGCTTCGCATGCACTGCGCCCAAGCGGCCAGGATTCTTAGAGTGCTGTAGAGAACCGACATCACGGTTGTACTTATTAGCTAGGTATTGTTTGCGGATCGCCCTTCACGTGTGCATATAATGAGGTTAGAAGGGCTTGGCCTTACCAGCCTCCACGGCTGTGTTTTTGCTGATCACGGATTTGATGTATCCAGCCAGTTCGTACTATCTATTTTGTTAAGTTCCTCTCACTAGTACAAATTTCTTCAACCTCTCCCCTCCTCTGATTAGCGCGTGAAAGTAAGGTACCAGTGGGTGGTATTTATTGAAGAAGCGAAACTAGCCGAGTTACCCAGCTTCACCGTGTTCTGCGACAACCAATCGGCAATTCGCATCGCCAACAAAAACGGCTTCGCAAACAGGACGAAACACATCGCCCTGCGCTATTTCTTCGTGAAGGACGAGATAGAAAAAGGGAAACTCGATCTGTCATACTGCCCAACATCCGAGATGGCAGCCGATTACTTGACCAAGAAACTCGGAAAGCAGAAGTTCGAATACTGCATGATGCTGACTGGACAAGGCCACGTCACCAGCAGCGACACTCCAGAAGCGAAGGGGAGTGTTGGAAACAATAAGTCCTAAGTGCGCTTCTGTCGTATCAAAACCCAAGGCACCAAGCGAAGCAGTCCCAATCGAAGCATCGAGTCAACCTCGGAGGTTAGGGTAACCGCCTGGAGGTTACGAGAAAGTCAAAGGTCGCTGACCTTTGACTCGACAATCACAGCGCGACAGTTAAGGACACACAACTGACTCGTTACAGAGCAGTTGCCCGAGTCGCACTGTATCGAACCGCAACAGCAATACAGTTATCTACCTATCTATTCGTATTCCCTGTACTCTTATATAAATCCTTGTATTTGCTTGTTTAATTCAATCTACTTTGCTCTCACACACCAGTGCAAGGTCGGTTCACAATCCTCATCAAACGCTTCCGCTATTACAAGTTTCTACCCAAGAGTTCTCCTCTGCAAAGATCCTAAGGGCTATTTTCTCAGCCCAACATGGTATGAGAGCAGACAGGGGAAAACTCTAACTTTTTTATCATTACAAGACATGGCAACAAACAAGGAAAGGAGCTCCCCTAATGGCTCCTCGGGCACTACTCCTACTCCACCACCAGCCTCTGGCCTGCAGACAGAGGAAGGCACGGCAGCAAGACCAAGGGGAACGTCAACCGAGACCCCCACGAACCATCCTTCTGACTTCGACCAGAACATGATGGATAAATTTTTCTCCTTCATGTCCTTCTACGAGCAACACCAGCAGTCGGGACCTGCACAGACACACAACAGCAACAACGGAGCGACACCCATGAGCCTTGACGGGTCGTCATATGCGCGAGGGAATCAACAGCAGCAACCCACCTTCGCCCCGTACGAACGCGGGTCGATCAGCTTCCTGCCTCAACCTCCACCTGCGCAAGACAAACCAATGGATGCCTTACAAGTACAGTCGCAGTTCGCGCATGTTCTGAAACTACAGACGTCAAGACCTTTCGACGGAAAGGACTTCTTTACCTGGTCCTTTGAATTCGAGTTGATGATGGAGGGCGCGCAGATACTCGGCTTCTTCGACGGATCCCTGCAGTATCCAGCAAACGGGACACAGTATGAAAAGCAGCAGTATACGTATCGATCCATGATGGCGTATACTATTCTACTGAGAAACATCACACCAACCCAGCAGCAGAACATTCGCTCCTACCGGAACTTCGGCAACTCGGCGGAACTCGCGTACGGCCATCTGAAGAACCTGTACCAGGCAACAGACAGTGTAAACCAGAGCAGGTTAATGGCGCAGCTGACAACAGTGGAAATGAAACCAGGAGAAAAAGGGTTGGCGTATATCAGCCGATGTCGCGAATTGCGCGACAAGCTTCTTCGATGTGGAGGGTCAATCTCTGAAGACGCCTTCGTAACAGTCGTCATCGGCGGCCTCGGTCCTCAGTGGCGCGCCACCAAAGCAATTCTTCGAGCACACGGGAGGATCTCCGAAGCGGCACTTTGCGCAGAAATTCACGCGGAACAGCAGGATATGGAC